GCCTGGGTCCGCAGAACGTGATCCAGGTCTCTGGATTAACAGTCCAGCGATAATACCAGTAGGCCTTTTCCTCCAAATGTCCTCAGGTTCCTCAGCTAGAGTGTCTACTGGAGGTTCAAAAAGGTCCTAGAATCCTCTCCTGTGGATTTAGCATTGCACTCACCGCATATAAAGCTATTGAATCTCTTCCAATACTGGAACCAATTCCTGCTCATCACACCTCTTCTGCTCACAGTATCAGCGACCTTTAGCCAGGACTGCTTGCTTTAGGAAAATGATCTTTTCCTGCTTCAATGAGGACCTCCAGGTCAGCATTTGCAAAATGGGGGACTGCCCTGCTCCAGGTTCCAGGTCTCTGCTTCTTCTAAGACATCAAGCTGGTAATGGCAGCTGCATTCCTTCAGTCCCATCTTTGCTTCTCCAGTGACAGTTTGATCTTGAAAAAATCAGGGGCTGATTCTCTCTGGGGTGGGGGGTGGGGGTGTTATCAGGACGTGAGAGCAAACCTGAAGTCCATTTTCCATCCCCAGAATGATATTCCTGCCCTTATTTTCAATATAAAAAGTGCACAAGCCAAGTTCCCTATAGCACTGCATGTCAGGTTTCGAGGACGGCATTCCTTATTTTTAAAGAGATTCTGGTAGCTGTAGCAATCGAATTAGCAATCTTCAATTCATATTCACAATTGACATTTGCACTTGTGCTTCCTATTGGGACCAGTTTCAAAATTTGACTAGGTCATCCATGAGAGGAAAGGAAAAGTGATAGGGTGGAGTCCCTTCCGACATCACTTTAGCATGCCTTCTGGGCTGTTGATCAAGGAGCAGTGATGAAAGGACTGGAGGCTGCAACTGTTCAGGTATTCTGATAATGTGCATGAAGAAAATACACTGGGCAAGGGAAAACACACTTTTAAAAAAAATTAACAGGATCTTATTAGAGTTAAGTTAATAATGTTTTTTTTTCCCCACAGTGGATTAAGCTCATACACTTTTCCTTAACATAAGCTAATAGGAGTTTTGTCGATACTTTTAAAACCAAGACATGGCACAACGGCCTGAACTGAAATTCCATTAAAACCATGGCTTTCCACTCAGTAAAAGATTGACACTTTGAGTCTCTGAATTGTTTAAATTTACAGAGGAAGTAATTAATTTTTAAATTAAAAATATTTGAGTGACAATTTAATTTTCAGATAGATATTGTACTGCAGGTCCATGATTTATCAAATACAAACTACCACATTTAACTGGTGCAAAAACCTGATTCAGTTTAAAAATGAGAGGTTATTCTAGTATAAAAATTAGGAATTACTGCCTGACCTTTATATAGAGATTATACATCAGACAGATATTTCAGTCCATTAGGTTCTGACCAGCCAACAAAGTTGAAAATTATTCCCAAGTGCTTCAAAGGTTATTAATGGCACACATCAGCTTCAGCCTCCCAGATTGCCTTGATCCACTACAATTCTCCTACAGCCACAATAGATCCACAGCAGATGACTTCTCCCTGGCCCTACACACATCCCTGGAACGTCTGGATAACAAGGACACCTACGCCAGACTCCTATTTATTGACTTTAGCTCCACATTCAACACCATAATTCCAACGAAACTCATCTCCAAACTCTGAGACCTAGGACTCTACTCTCCCTTCTACAACTGGATCTTTGTCTTCCTGACACTCAGACTGCAATCAGTAAGAATAGGTGACAACACCTACTCCACAATAATCCTCAAAACCAGTACCCCACAAGACTGCATACTCAGTCCCTTACTATACTTCCTGTACACTCACAACTGAGTGGCCAAATTCAGCTCTAATTCCATTTACAAATTTGCTGATGACATCACCGTAATGGATATCAAACAATGACAATACAGAGTACAGGAAAGATAGACAGTTTAGCGGCATGGTGTAAGACAACAATGTCTCCTTCAGTGTCAGCAAAAGGAAGAAGCTGGTCATTGACTTCATGCAGCAGAGTGGAGGACTTGTCCCTGTCTGTATCAATGGTGATGAGGTGGAGGTGGTCAAGAACTTCAAGTTCCTATGAGTAAATATCACCAGCGATTTATTCTGGTCCATCCACATTGAGGCTATAGTCAAGAAAACACACCAATGCTTCTACTTCCTCAGAAGGCTAAGGAAATTCAGCATGCCCATAATGACTCTTACCAATTTTTTATAGATGCACCAAAGAAAGCATCCTATCCTGATGCATCACAGTTGGTATGGCAACTGCTCTGCCCAAGACTGCAAGAAATTACAGAGTGTTGTGAACGTATCCCAGTCCACCATGAAAACCAGCGTTCCTTCTATTGACTCCGTCCACACTTCCCACTGCTGGGAAAGCAGTTAATGCAGTCGAAGACCCCTCCCACCCTGGTTATACTCTCCTCCATCTTCTTCCATCGGGCTGAAGATACAAAAGTTTGAGAACACAAACCAAGAGATTTAAGAACAGCTTATTCTCTGCTGTTATCAGACTTATGAACAAACCTCTCATATGAGGTTGTTGGCTTGCTTGCCGAGAGCTGGTTATTGTACGGACGTTTCATCACCATGCTAGGTAACGTCATCAGTGCGGTCTCCAATGAAAAGATGTTATTCTACTCTGCTTGATATTTTTATGATCCAGTCTGTTAAGTTGGGTTGTGTCATTTCCAGTTCTGTTCTACATGGTTTTGTATATGGGGTCTAACTCTACACATTTGTTGATTGCATAATGGGTTGAAAACCAGGCCTCTACAAATTCCCGTGCGTGTCTGTGGTTGGCTTGAGCTAGGATGGTCACGTTGTCCCAGTTAAATTGATGGCCTTCATTGTCCGAGTGCACTGAGATAAGGGAAGGTAAGTTGTGTTGTTTTGCCGCTAGCTGGTGTATATCCTGATGACTAGTTTTCTTCCGGTCTAACCGATGTAATGTTCGTTGCAGTCTTTGTAAGGTATTTTGTAAACTACACTGGTTCTGCATGTCATGGATATGGGATCTTTAATTCTTGAGAGTGTTTGTCGTAGTGTGGTTGTGGAATGTGTGCGACCATGATTCCCAGGGATCCTAGGAGTCTCGTGGTCGGTTCTGATATGTTCTTGATATAGGGTAGTGTGGCCAGTGCATTGGGGCATACTCTTGGTGTTGTCTATCTAGTAGGCACTTGTGGATGAATTTGTTGGAGTATCCATTGTTAGCAAAGACCTTGTATAGTTGCTCTTCCTCCTTCCTGCGTAGTTCTGGCATGTTGTAGTGAGTTGTGGCCCATTGGCCTGTTTGAATATTGTCCTAACACAGGTTTTTTTGTGGACGTTGGGGTGATTCCTGTTGAAATTGAGGATTTGGTCAGTGTGGGTTGCCTTCCTATACACTGTAGTTTAGAACTCCCTGTTGGTCATTTGTTCTACCCTGACGTCTAGAAACGGAAGTTGATTGTTGTCTTCCCCTTCTCTTGTAAATTTGATTGCAGTTGAAACATTGTTAATGAGTTGGTATGTCTCTTCTAACTTGGTGCATTTAATGATGGCAAACGTGTTGTCCACGTATAGGATCCACAGTTTTGGCTGTATGAGGAGGAGGGTAGTGCATTCCAGTCTTTGCATGACTGCTTCTGCAATAAGTCCTATGGGTGACCCCATAGGTGTGCCATTGATTTGTCTGTATATTTGGTCATTAAAGATGAAGTGAGTGGTAAGGCACAGGTCCAATAGTCTGAGTATGTTGTCCTTGCTGATGGAACTGTTTGGAATCGACGTTTCTGCTGCATCCAGTAATGTGTCAAGTGTTTCTTTGGCTAGTGATATGTCAATAATGCCATGATGTTAAAGGATACCATAATCTTGTCGTCATTGATTTTAATGTTCCTGATGTTGTTAAGGAATTCCTGGGTTGAATGGATGGAGTGGGGTGATCCGTTGACCAGGTGCTTCAGTCTCTATTGTAGGTCCTTGGCCAGTTTGTGTGTAGGTGTGCCTAATAGGGAGACAATGGGTCTGAGGGGCACGTCTGGTTTGTAGAAGCCGGAGGGTGCTCAAGCCTTCTGGTATCATTTTTATGTGACATTAGACCCCATATACAAATCCATGCAGAACAGAACTGGAGATGACACAACCCAACTTAACAGACCAGATCATCTAAATTCCAAGCGGAGTAGAACAACATCGCTTCATCAGAAGCCGCGCTGATGATGTTACTTGGCAGGGTGACAAAACGTCCGTACGATAACTAGCCAGCTTGGTGAGCAAGTCAACAACCTCATCCAGAACCCAAGCTACAAATCTTCACAAGAACCTTAAACACCTCTCATATATTACAGTTGACCTTTCTCTGCACCTTCTCTGCAGCTGTAACACTATATTCTGTATTCTGTTCTATTACTCTAATGTACTTACATAGGGTATGATTTGTCTGGTTTCACTATACCTCAGTACATGTGAAGATAATAAATCAAATCAAAAGTAGTCTTTGCCAACCACCACCATCTATCAAAACCAAATTATTCCGACTCAAATATTCTTACCTGCACTATACACAAATCTACTTTCCCATTTAAGAGAATGGGAAGTAAAATGTTACCAAACCCATAAGGTCTACTTCCAAAGATCCTTGCATGACCTCAACAACCTCTTCAATTTTATAGCCTATCAAACTGCCCTGATTTTCTGACTTATCTGACTTTGCTCTTTGTCTATCTACTTCCCCTGCCCTCAAGTCTATATCTAATGCCATGATTTATTTCTTGGTTTTCCTCCCTAAATTCCTTAATTTCTTCCTCTACATTTAAAAGTGCTTTTAAACACTATGTCTTTGCTCCCTAGTTTAGCTCAGCTCCCATTGTGTTTTTCCTCGTACTATTTTAGATTTTCCCTTCACACCCCATCTCCTCCAGCCACCTTCACCCATTAAAATGCCATGGGATGCTTTATCTTTGAAGTCAATGTATAAATGCAACTTGTCATTCTTTTTAAAATATGCAATTGAATTCCTGTTTCAGGTCTCTTACCTGTGATAAAAAAGTTAATATTTCTTTCATCTTTTCCTACTTTGTTTACAGCCAAGCAGCGATAAATTCCAGAAATATTGGCTTCAGCCACCACTAGAGCGCTAACAGTCTGAAAAAGAGAGGAAAAACACAATCATGTACATCCTATGCATTTTTTTATCGAATGGAAAATTTCCTTTTGGAATGGTATGACAGGTACAATTATTCAATGGTCCCTGTTATGCATTGGCATAATTATATAATTGTTGCGTTTTAATTCTTTGAAAATACTTTATTCCAAAACAATGGTATTGGTAGAATAACAGGAAAGCTTTCCCTGTGGAACCATTTACATCTTTATTGTGCTGTTCCCACTTTTGAATGTGCAGGCAGATGTGCAGGCTGGTTTTGTAGTGCAGTTCCAGCCAGGTAGTGCTTTATTTAGATTGACCTTGAGTCTTTCTCCTCAGAAGAGCGCACTGTTTACTTCAGACATGAGCACAGGCAGCAATGACTCCATTCTAAACCTTGAAACCAACTCTTGTTAACCTAAAAAAGTGTGCGGACTGTACTTGCATGCAGTTTGAAACGCAGATGATATGAAACAACCTCATCCAAAGGGTTTCACGCTGCTATCCTCTGAAGTTATGCTTCATGCAGGTCTACAATTATACTGCAACTTTATTGTTCGCCTTCCTCAAAAGCCAGCTCCCAGATTGAGCAGAACTCCTGACACTCTTGTTTATATCTGTCAGCCATGGCACCCTGATTAGACCAGATTAACAGGCCCAATTAGGGAACTCATATTCTATGAGGTCCATCTGTCTGATTTTGTTACAATCACTACAAAATGCATACAATAGAATACTAAGTAATGACAATTTGAACTTTTAGTCTGAAAGAAAGTTATGTTTTAGGGAATACTGTGGTTACTTTAGTAGAAACTTGTTTTCATCAATGTATCTCTTTTTACCATTGACATCTACTTTCAATCCCTGTGGGAATTAACCAAAAATTTGCTTGTTAGACCGAAAAGAAATAAAATGAAATGAAAAGAAACAAACATCTGGAAAAGTTAGACAGATGGTGACCTAATGATTAGAAAGGTCATTAGCCTACACCCCTTTAGTTTTTAAAATCAGCAATGGCACATTTGAATTCTCTTCATTGTATATATTCCGTATGTATTTCCAGTTTAATTACAGAACTGAAAACTGATATCATTCAATTCTATTGTCCAAAAGAAAAATTACCTGAGGCTGAGCCCAAAGTACTTAAAAAAGAATTATGTACTTTTGAAGGCTTGTCACTGGTGTAATATAGCCAGCTAAATTGTGTAAAGCAAGATTCCAGAAACAATATCAGCATAAATGACCAAATTATTTATTTTAAGTTTTGATTGAGAAATGTGTGAACTAGGACATTGGGAAACCCTTCTCTGCTTCATTTACTGCCACAAGATCTTTTACACGCAGCCAAAAAGAAAAATGGGATTTTGGTTTAAAATCGCATCTAAACAACAGAAACCCTGATAGTACAGCACTCCCTCAGTATTCATCCTATTCTGGACTACGTGTTTGTATCACTGGTGTATGAATTGTAACACAACTTTCAAGGACAAGAGAGTGCCAAGCTTGACAGTAATTGATTAGGATTTGTAAGTTTCCTAATCTTGTACTTTAGTTAACACAAGGTAGAATTAGGATAAAATAGCCAATTTAAATGTACACATGGATTGTTCCTTCCCTAAAGATACGTGATTCAGGAAACTAGACTAACTAACCATGAGTTCAAATCCCACCATGATGGTTTGAGGATTCAGTTCAGAATATCTAAAAGTAAAAAGGTAAAAAATCAATGAATACAACCACGAAGTTGCAATGTATTATTAAAAACCCAAACTTTAAAGAATGTCTATTAGAGAAGAAAACTGACCATCCTGAGCCAATTTGGCTTATGTGGGATTCCAGCCCACACCAATGACATTGACAAGCTGACATATCACTCAGTTATCATCACGGTCTCAGGACAACTATTGACAGGTATCTGAAAGTAAAGTTCTCTCTAAGCTGTGCCATAAGGATAACCACTACAAAATCTATGAAACACCCTGCACAGGCTCTACACAAATCAGCCTCTTTAAATTTCCACCCGTGCGCTCAGACAAAATACTGAAACAAGCTGCTCATATACTCCAAACAAATAAGAAGGGATAGACTTTCACTTGAGAATGAACAAAAGTAAGTTTTAATGCTCTTAGTTTTTGCAAGACTTTTCTTAAAATGGATGTGACTATTCAGCACATGGGCTGCTGCTCAATCAGTGCTGAAACTATTTCACAATCAATAAAAGACAATTATGATGAAACTGTCTGGATAACATTTGTTTGAACTCCCCACCCACAAGCTATCTGTCCAAGACCCAATGAAATTAATCTAATGTGTGGTAAATAGCTTTTGGTGACCAGCAATGCTGGACCTTGAACCTGAAAGCATTGATTATGATTTACAATGACAATAGACTAGCTGTTTTAGCAACTGAATGATCCACAACATTAAAATGCTTCAATCATACATTCTGTATCTCTAACAGAATGGCCTGACCTTTGGGGTGTGGGGTATGGAAACTTATCTCTCAGGAAAACAGGGATAGAAATTTTTTTAATAGAGTTTAATAATTTAAGGGCACTGTCTTTGCCATGCTACAATTACTTTGTTAAACTCTTCTAATTTATAAAGTAGTTTATACGGAAATGTTACTAAAACATTACGGTCATCATTCAGTTTTAATGAGAATAAATTTTTGCTTATTTCCTGCACTTCCCTTCAACCCTGATATGTACAATCTTTAATTAGTAGGAGATCATACTAAGGAGAACATTAATTACATTACCATTATTACGTTATCTATTCTGATACGTCCTTTGACCTACAATTCCTTGATTTCAGGGACTCAGTTTCATACAGCATTTTACAACCAGTGATAACAAATTGTTTATGACTTTGAATAAGATGGAACTATCTAAAATCTTTAATTTGTATATACAAGTTGATTTCATACTGTAACTTAGATGTTGTTTTGAACATATGTATAGCTTACTGCAATCATCATGCATTACAGCGATAACTAAAGTCAACTTGATCTCCAATTTCCAATATGAAACTCAACAAAATTTGAAAAAAAAATGCAATGTTACTATCAACAAGGTTTCATTTCTTCAATGGATTTCAGTTTTTAAAAAAAATCAAGATCACATATTTCTAAGAACATTAGATGTCTAAACATTCTATAGCAAGATGCTATGAGATTCTTAGAAAGTCATATAATTCATTTGAATCCCTGCTAATATAACTCAGCCAATCATTTAGAAAATAAAATAAGTTACTTTTATCAGTAAGCATTATGACTGGGACTCAAACTATGAAGAAGAAGAAAATAAAGGCACCATTTGACTAATTGAGTAGTCAGAAGTCATGCCTCCATTAAGCATATTATCTAGACTGAGGCTTCATTACTCATAGGGTGATGCATTGTCAAAGATACTGCCATTATTAAATTTACTCATGGGATCTGGACATCGCTGGATGGTCAGCATTTATAGCCTATCCCTAGTTGCCCTTGAGAAAATGGTAATGAGCTACCTTCTTGAATTTCTGCAGTTCATTGCTGTAGGGAGGAATTGCAGGATTTAAATCCAGTGACATTGGAAAAAACGGTAATATATTCCAAGTCAGGATGGTGAGTGGCTTTGAGGGGAACTTTTAGGTGGTGGTGTTCCCCATAGTTCTGCTGCCCTTGTCCTTCTAGATAGCAGAGGTCCTGTGTTCCCTTCTAAGGATTTTTGATGAATTTCTGCAGTACATCTTGTAAATAGTACACACTGCTGTTACTGTGTAGATGGTGGAGAGAATAGATGCCTACAGAATTGGTGCCAATCAAGCAGACTACTTTGTCCTGGAAGATGTCAAGCTTCTTGAGTAGTGTTAGAACTAGAGTCATCCAGGAAAGTGGGGGGTAATCCATCACACTCATGACTTGTGCTTTATAAATAATGGATAGGCTTTGCAGAGTCATGAGGTGACTTTCTGCAATATCCTAGCCTCTGACCTGTTTTTGTTGCCATTGTGTTTACTTGAAGAGTCCAGTTGAGATTCTGGCCAGTGATAACTCCCAGTTTGTTGATAGTGGGGGATCCAGTGGTGGTAACACCATTGAATGTCAAGTGGCAGTGGTCAGATTGTCTCTTATTGAAGATGGTCATTGCCTGGTATTTGTGTGGTGCAAATGTTACTTGCTACTTGTCAGCTCAAGCCTGGATATTGTCCAGATCTTGTTGCTTTTGAACAAGGACTGCTTCAGTATGTGTGGAGGCATTAATGATGCTGAACATTGTGCAATCATTGGCCAACATCCCCACTTCTGACCTTTTGATGGAGGGAAGATCATTGATGAAGCAGCTGAAAATGGTTGGGCCTAGGGCACTACTCAGAGGAACGTCTACAGAGATAACTTGGAGCTCAGATGACTGACATCTGAAAACCACAATCATCTTATGTGTCAGGTATGACTGCAACGAGCAGAGAGTTTGCATCTGATACGCATTGATTTTAGTTTTGCTAGGTTTCTTTATGCATTTAGCACAGTAGGATTGATGCACAACACATTGGAGGATATCTCCAATGTAAATGCGGAAATAGAGTCAATACTGTTTTTTTAAAAAATGTCACATGGAATTGAAACGTTAACTGTTGCCAACTCTACAGATACAGCCAGATCTACTGAGTTTCTACAGCATTTTCTGTTTTTTTTTTCAGATCAGAAACATCCACAGTATTTTCCTTCATCTTGTGGTTCCTTTTAGAAGTGTTGTCATTATTGTAACATCAGAAATCTGTGCTCAGCACAGTCCCACAAACAGCAAAGCCCAGATAGCCTGTATTGGTGATGTTACTTGAGGAATATATGTTGTCCAGAAGGGAGGAGGACTCCCCTGATCCTTTTCAAAGAGTTCATGGAATCTCTCATGTGAGCCAGAGAGACTGGATAGGGTCTTAGTTTAATGTCTCATATGAAAGAAGATCCCTCCAACAGTGCAGCACTCCCTCATTATTACACTCATGTGTTACTATGAATTTTGTGTTTAAGCCTCTGGAGTAACTATAAAATCAAGCAGATTGCAAGAACTCCAGATACTGGAGTCAGAGATAACACAGTGTGGAGCTGGAGGAACACAGCAGGCCAGGCAACATCAGAGGAGCAGGAAAGTTGATGTTTCAGGTCAGAACCCTTCCTCAGATTTTCTGCCTGCACGCTTTGTTATCTATAAAATCCAGTAGATATTTAAAATTATCTTGCTCTTTTCTCCTAACCCAAAGTAATTTATGTAATTATACTTAAGCAGAAGGAACATAATGAAAAAGGAAATTAATTACAGCTTGCACAGTCGGTGAGAATTTAGTGCATGCCTTCAAAAGAAGACTGGTTTAGTTCCTGGTTGAGGAAATTACAGTCTATAAAAGGTATATTAAATAAATTAAGGCCAAGGGAGTCTCCTGAATTCATTTGGATTGCGTGAGAATTTTCAGTGTTTTTCTCTCTGAATTGATTTTGATTTAGCCTCTTCAACGAGCACAGCTGCTCACTACATGTGGTGTAGTGTATAATAAAGCCAAAGGTATAATGAAACAAGCTCAATAGACCAAGAGGTCTGATCTATGTGGCATTTTTGCATCCAACACAAAGCTTTTGTCATAAGACCATGAGACGTAGGAGCAGAAACAGGCCTTTTGGCCCATCAATCCACCGTTCAATGACATCATGGTTGATCCAATAAATTCAACTCCACTTTTCTGGCTTTCTCCCTAGAATGCTTGATTCCCTTACTAATTAGAAATACGTTTATCTCATCCTTGAATATGCTTAGTGACTCAGCTAATGACAGCATTCTGTGGTAAAGAATTCCATAGATTCACCACCCTCTGAGGTCATCTTGGTCTTAAATTTGTGACTCCTTACTCTGACATTATGCACCCTCATTTTAGACTCTCCCACAGGGAGAAGCAACCCCTTTGTGTCTACCCTGTCAAATCCTCTAAGAATCATATTTGTTTTAATAAGGTTTCCTCTCTCTTTCTCCTAAGCTCCAATGAGTACAAGCCCAAATTACTAAAACTCCTCTCATAAAAGAATGTCTCCATATCTGGGATCAACATAGTGAACCTTCTCTGGGCTGCCTCCAATGCTAGTATATCTTCCCTTAAATTAAGGGGACCAAAACTGTATTCAGTATTTTAGCTGTGGACTGATCTGTGCCTTGCACAGTTTTGGTAAGACTTTTCTAGTTTTATTCCCTTTGTGGTAAATTACAACATTTCATTTGCCTTCCCTATTATTTGTTAAAACTTGGATCCTAGCCTTTTATGATTCATATAACAGGGCCCCCAAATCCCACTGCGATGTAGCTTTCTGCAGGCTTTTTCCATTTAAATAATAGTCAGCTTTTTTATTCTTCCTGTCAAAGTTCATAACCTCATATTTTCTAACATTATATTCCATTGCCTAGTATTTGCCCACTTAACTAGTCTATATTCCTCCTTATATCTTCCTTGTGTCATCCCCATTACTTGTCTTTCCACCTATTTTTGTGTCATCTGCAAACATAGTGATGGTACATGCATTTCCATCATCTAAGTCATCAATAGATATTTAAATAATTGTAGCTCCAGCACTGAACCCTCTGGCATTCCACTAGTTGCAGGTTGCATCCTCAAAATGCCTGCATTATCCCAACTGTCTGCCTTCTAGTAGTTAGCCAATCCTCTTTCCATGCTAATATACTAACCTCAACACCATGTTCTGAAGAAGAGTCATAGCAGACTCCAAATGTTAACTCTATTTCTCTCTCCACTACACTGCTACATCTGCTGAGTTTCTTTAACATTCTCTATGTTTGATTCAGATATCGAGGATCAGCAGTATTTTGAGTTTAAACTACGGATTCTTCTCTTATGAAGTAGCCTTATGTGTGCTACTTTATCAAATGCCTTTTGCAAATTCAAATATACCCGATCTACTGGTCCCCCTTTATCTACCCTTCTTGTTATCTCCTCAAAGACCTGTTTTAAATTTGCCAGGAATGATATCATATCCCCTTCATGAAGCCATGCTGATTCTACTTGATTATATCCAGTGTTCCTAAATACTCCACCGTTACATTCCTTATAATAGGCTAATCTTTTCCCAATGGCAAACTTTAAGCTAACTAACCTGTAGTTAACTTTTTTTTTTGCCTTCTTCTCTTTTTGAATAAAATCTTCTGGTCCTTTTATAATCTAAGCATTCTTGGAAGATTACTACCAGTGTGCCCACTACCTTTGTAGCCACTTCCTTTAAAATTCAAGAATGCAACCCTTTAAGTCTAGGGAAGTTATCCGCCATTAGTTCTATTAGTTTCCCTGGTATGTTTTCTCTCGTGAAAGTTGTGTTTATTTCCACTTTCCCCATCTGTAAGCCCTCTGATTATTTAGTATTTTTGCAAAAAATATCCTCTACCATGATGCCAAGTATATGGTCAACTCTCTGCCGTTTTGTGGCTCCCCATCATTATTTCCCCCAGGTTCATTCTCCAAGGCCCTTATGTTCACTGTTGCCTCTCTCTTCCATTTTAAATATTTAAAGAAGCTCCCACTGTCTGTTTTTATGTTACTTGTTTGTTTGCCCTGACAGTTTATTTTCATTTTTGCTTTGGTTCCCTTTTGTTGGCTTTTAAAACTTTCCCAATTATTTGATTTACTACTAACCTTTGCCACATAGTATCAAATTGTATTTTTTTTGTTTCAATCTTTAACTTCTCAGTGCTAGGCATTGGCTGTACTGTTCAAGATAGGTACTTTCTGGTTCTGTGCTGTACCTTCAAACCCATTCGGAATTGTGTTGAGATGAGCTAATTGCATTTCATATACATGCCTTATAGCCAGTTATAAGTGAAACATTTATTTCCATTTGAAAGAATTGGATTAAATCCCATCCTAGAGGAGAATAGACAAGTAGAAACACAAACAAAAGACAAAGAATATGTTCCAAAAATGTAAAAACCCTCAACTCTAAGATCAATTCATCAAAAATGTTGTACATTTATATGCAGATGTAACTAGAAGCTTTCCTATGATAAAGACGTAATTGCTTTGTGTACCTTGTAAGGGTTAGTTTTGAATGGTTAAGCATGGGTCTTCAAATGCTTCCCTGCCCTCTCAGTAAGACAAGAATATGAGAAGTTAAAAGCTACTGTGATGCTCTGAATAATTCCACATACAGAGAAAATACAATATTTGTAAAAGTACTGAACACAACATTAATCAGAATTGATACATTTGTAGGTACACATTAATTATTTAAATACCTTGTATTTTCCATCCAGTAATTCTGTTCTTTCAGTAACACCATGTATCTTATTTCCAGTCATGTTGCTGCCAAACGCATCCAGAAAAACAGTGCTGCTTTCAGTCTCTTGTGTTTTACATCTGGAAATAATATTTAAAATTCATTATAGCCTTGACAAAATGTTTACATGATTTCACTTAAGAGTAGGTCACTTTTTAGTAAATAGAAACTGCTGACTCATTTAAAAAGAAGCTAATTTTAAGAAAACTAATTTATGAAAGTTACCAAGAATGCAGAAAACTCAAGAGAAAGAGTTTCTGTGCTCATTCATCAACAGATGGCTTCCTAAAGTTATGAATTCCAGAAATCTGAGATTCCTCTTTCCATATTTGTTTACCCATACATTGTGGCTGAATTTTTGATGAAAGATCCTTCAACCTATTAGTGTGTTTTTGTTTTGCTCAGTAAAAGGGATTGAAAGTAGATACCCCATTTCTCTCAAAGAACACAGGAACTATCATTTAAACAAGTAAATCAAAGAATGAAGGTCCTCCTTCACTTTGAATTTCCTGATTGAATTTCATGAAAGGGTGCCTAAAGTAGTGGATAGGGTGAGGTCCATAGATGTTATTCAAAAGGGCTTCAAGACAGCAAGTGATAAAGTCCTCCATAAGATACTGTTGGAAGCTCATGAAATTGAAGGTAAATTATTGGCCTGGTTACAAAATTGCCTGAGTGAAAGGAGACAAAGAATAGGGAAAATGAGCAGGAACTGTCATTGGCAAGACATAGCAGTCACGTCTTGCAAAGATTTGTATTGAGACATTAATGTTTTAGCACATTTATTAATGACTTAGAATATGGGATAGAAAACTACAACTCTAACTGCATCAGATGCCTTCTGAGAATACAAATAAATTATATCTACTACTTCTCCTTTATCTATTAAGCTTGTTACCTCCTCCAACAATTCCAATAAATCTGTCAGACATAATTTCCTCTTTGTGAAACCAAGCCAGAAAAGTAGCTCAGTAATGGCACATCAATTTATTTAACATCAGTGGTAGGCAAGCTTTTAGAAACAATGATTTGAGACAAAATTAAGTCACTTGGACAAAGGCAGGTTAAGTAAGGAAAGTCGGTTTGGATTTGTTAAGGGTGAATTGTGTTTAATTGACATACATGAATTTTTTAATGAGAACAGAGAGGTTTAATTTGAATAATGAAATTGATGTGGTACACCTGAACTTCCAAAAGATATTTGTCAAAGTTCTGCAGAGCAGATTGGATTTAAAAAAAAGTTGGAACTCATGGAATACAAAGTGCAGTAGTAAAATACATGCAAGATTGGCTGAGTAAGTGCAAACAGAGGTTAGTGGTGAATGGTTGTGCAGACTAGTGGCATGTTAGATAGAATCCCTACAGTGTGGAAACAGGCCCTTCGGCCCAACAAGTCCACACCGAACCTCAGAGCATCCCACCCAGACCCATCTCCCTATAACCCACCTAATCTACACCTGTTTGGATGTTTAGAATGGAATTTCACAATGATCGATGTTAGGACCCCCACCTGTCCTGATATATAATAATGACTTGGACTTTGCACACCTTCAAAATTTTAAACACAGAAAACTTAGAAGTATTGCAGTCTGTGAGGAGGATAGTGTTAAACCTCAAAAGGACATTGAAAGGTTAGTGGTCTAGGCTGCCAGGTGGAACATGAAGCTGAATGTGAAAGACATGTGAAGTTTTTCACTTTGGTAGGAATTGTGGAGACACAACATATAAAAAAGGTAGTATGTCAGAGGCTAGGACTCCTGCAGTGAGTAACTCACCTCCTGACTCCCCAGAGCCTGTCCACCATCTCCAAGGCACAAGTCAGGAGTGTGACAGAATACTGGATGCCTGGATGAATGCACTCTTGAACAACACTTGAGAAACTTGTCATCATTCAGGATAAAGTAGCCTGTTTGATTGGCTCCACATCCACAAACATTCACTCCTTCCACCACTGATGCTCAGTAGCAGCAGTATGTACTATCTACAAGATGTACTGCAGAAATTCACCAAGGCTTCTTGGACAGCACCTTTTAAATCCATAACCACTTCCATCTAGAAGGCAATGGTAACAAATACATGGGAACACCATCTTCTTCAAGTTCCCCTCCAAGCCACTCATCACCCTGACTTGGGAATACATTGCTGTTCCTTTATTGTCATGGTAAATATCCTAGAACTCCCTCTGTTATGGGTTTACCTACAAAACATGGACTGCAGCAGTTCGAGAACACAACTTGTCACTATTTTCTTGGGGGCTAGAGATGGGCAGTAATTGTTGGCTCAGCCAGTGATGCTAACATCTCATGATTGAATAAAAAATTTCTAATACATTTCTCCGTTCTTCATTCAATTTACTGAAATAACATAAATACTGAGGAATTCCCATAAAGCCATGTTTCACAGGCTAAATCGCTTGAAAATGTGTGTGCACTGAAAGAGTTTCAAAATTTTTTTCAGGCAATATTGTCAATAAAACAAATTGCAAAAGTAATACAAAATGACAATTTTAAATTGCACCTGAAAGGGCTGCTAGTCCCTTTAAGACTCTTTTTCAAAAGCAGTCTGTCTTGCACTTCCAATATATTTGAGTGAAATTGAAAGCATGTATTAATATTATAATGAAGTTTCCACCTAGTTCTGGCAGGAGGTTCTGGCGCCTGATGATATCCTGACCGGAAATATAAGTCAAGCGCAAAAAGGGAAGGGACCTGGCACAACTGATCTACAATCATTTGTTCCAATGTGTGCTGTGTCTGCCCACTTGGGGTCATAAGGGACAAGGTTAATACATCTGTGAATACTTCAATATCTTTGACTGTCAATTGCAGTTTCTTTCTGTAACACAAAATCTAGAACTTTAAAATTCTGTAAACTGAATGTGGTGAGGTTGATTTTTGAAAGAATCCATAAAATTCTACTAATTCATTGGATTTGGGAATGTATTATCATCTTTATTGTATCACAGTGATTTATAATATAGGTCTACTGTAAAATCAGTTGTAAACATTTGACATTTTATTTTTGGGAAGCATCACCACAAGGAAACAGCAACACAGTTTAATTTAAACAACTTTTTATACGTGTTGGCAGGGCATTTGATTAGACAATGTTCTTAAAATTTTTCACTGAAAGTTACAAGTGATCTTTTGGCTAATGATTCTATTTCTATACTATATAGTCAAAATAAATGTTGCATGAACCATATTTGAAAAAGCAAGGGTATATTCACACTGTGCGGTTGGTGCATAATGATTTTGCTTTGCATTGACATTGCATCTAAGGCACAAACACATCTTGAATCTATAGTCAGATTCCAAGCTGACAACCAAATAAGTTAATTTAGCTGAGGAGACCTCCAATTTGTACTCAAAAAGTTTAGCATTGGTGCAAAGCTGAAACTTGTTCCCACAAGCACTAAATTTACACTGTAAATGCATTAGAACACTAAAAAATAAGAACATAAGAACTAGGAGCAGGAATAGACAGTTTAACCCCGCGAGCCTGCACTGTCATTTAATACAATCATGGCTTATCTCATCTCAGCCTCAACTCCACTTTCCTGTCTGCTCTCCATAACCCATCTGTCTGTCTATCTCCTCCTTAAATTTACTCGATGTCCCAGCATCCATCACATTCTGGGTAGTGAATTCCACAAATTCACGATGTTTTAAGAGAGTAATTTCTCCTCATATCTGTTTTAAATCTGGTGGCCCTTATTCTAAGACAATGACCTCTTTTTCTAGATTGCCCATAAGATGAAACATTCTCTCTATGTCCAAATTGTCAATCCCCTTTAATTTTATCCCCGCTCATTCTTCAAATCTCTAGACGGAATAGGACTAAATTGCTCAAATAGGGTCCCAACCCGTCAGCTTTCCTGTTCCTCTGATGCTGCCTGGCCTGCTGTGTTCTTCCAGCTCCACACTTTGTTATCCCTAAATTGCTCAATCTCTCTTCATAAGACAAATCCCTCATCTATGGAATCAATCTAGTGAGCCTCCACTAAACTCCCTGCAATGCAACAACATTCCTCCTCAAGTAAAGAGACCAAAACTATATGCAATAATCCAGGTGCTATCTCACAACTGTTTTGTACAATTGCTGTACATCCCCTTACCTTTATATTATATTCCTTTTGCAATAAATGCCAAATTCCATTTGCCTTCTTAATTACTTGCTTTACCTGCATTCTAGTTTCCTACAATTCATGCATGAGGATACACAGACCCCTCTGCACCAAAGTGCTCTGTAGTTTCTCTACATTTAGACAATAAGTTGCCTTTATATTTCTCTGATCAAAATGGATAATGTCTCCCATGTTAAACTTCATCTGCCAAATTCTGGCCCACTCACCTGGCCTATCCATATCCATTTGTAAATTTCTTATATCTTCATTGCAACTCACTTTCCCACCTATTTTATTGTCATCTGCAAATGCGGCTATGGTATTTTCTGTCCCTGCAGCCAAGTCATTAATAATAACAATAAATAATTGGGCCCCGAGGACTGAATTCTGTGGCAACCCACAAGTTACATCTTGCCAACCAGAAAAGACCCATTTTTCCCAACTCTCTGCTTTCTGTTGATTAGGTAATGCCCCATCCAGACTAATAAATTACCCCTGGCCCTAAGTGAACAAAACATATGGAAATGATGGATACCTGAGAGTAACTGGCGTCTCCTTCTAGCTTTTCTGGCTGAGAAGTAATCTATGGGAGTAGATCACCTGCCCAATTTTCCTTACATTGAAATCAGTAGCACAAAAATTGGGCACATTTTGTAAGGTTTAAGGAGTGTAGTGGTGAGTGAATATTACATGAAAACTATAATCTTATCTGAATCTTTTTAAGTTTATCAGAACAAGCCATACACATTATGAAATATCTCAGATATTTACTGGAATTAAAAAAAAACAAATTTAAAGATGGTTATTATCCACAACATTTGTATTGGATAAAAATGGATCATAAGGTGGAAAAAATATCATCTGAGAATTTTTTGACGTATCTATAAACTTATCATTACTGGAATGATGCCATGCAGAATTGAGGTATTAATACACAGAAAATTAATGTTGCCC